GTCAACTCTAAACTAAAGATTGATTAAAGAACAAGGAAGAATATTCTTTCCGATAAATTAGAGTCATCAGGTTCTACATTTGTATGACAGTAATAATTAAAGAAACACTGTTAGTAACAACATTAACGCTGTTTAAAATTGACTGACTTTGCACAGATGTGCAGCAGTTCGAGTCACCACACTCCATGTAGCACACAAAGCAAGAGAAGAAAATAAAAAGAAACGCAAAATAGAGACAGTAAACAGAGATATCAGGCAAAAACAATACAATATCGAAGAACCATATAGGTGTATTGTATATTATAAGTCACAAGGAGTGGTTGCATATGCGCCAGCCATTGACAACGAGATTTTGAGCCATATCACCGATTGTCTCCAGCCGTCATTGGTTTTTACCGTCCCGTGGACCCCTCAACCAGTCAGGAAGTCTACACCTCCCGATGTGGCTAACTGGTTTAAACTAACTGTTGTAGATTTCATTGACTGATGAAGCCATGTCTTGGTTTGACCACCACTAGCTTTTTTTCAATATGATCCTAGCATTGCCCGTCGCAAAGCCGATGGCTAGGCTAGGCATGAGTAACACATATCCTAACCATCTCCCCTCCTTACCTATCACTCGATGCCAAACCTCAATATTGTTCATCCTGTCGTACGACTTAACACAGGAGATAGAACGCATACACCTATCATCAAAGGCAGATAGCCAGCCTTTTATGTCTTCGAACATCAATGGCTATGTTTCACAGCCAGCCATAATGGAAGACGGAGTGAACTGCTGAACAGTACAGTACACACGCCCTTTGGTCGACATCCAGCCGGATATCATGTCTACGCCAGAGACGGCGTAAACTGGTATATGCGGAATTGTTTAAAACTACATTCAACCAATATTGTCGACAGAATACACTACATAAGCATCAGTAAAAAAGAGATAATATGCATGACACATAACCCTAAACTGACTGAATATCAGATAAATTAAAGGAAATAAGACAGAGAATTTGTGAGTTTATAGATTCCGCAGTAGACTAGCATGAGAATAGTGGCTGGCTGGACCTGTTTCTTCTGCATGCACAGCCGCAGTTGGTTTAAGCGAATCGCAGTGGTCTCTTCTGTTTGCAGTGTTCGGTATCCAGAGGATTTTGGTAGTCTATTCACCATCCGATAGATAATAGAGAAAGACGCTTTAATGCCAGCTAGCTTTGTGACCTGTTTGAGCGAGATGATCAAATACAGAATTGTTGATGGTTTTAACAAAATCTTTATTTAACCACACTGAGAGGTCCATATTACCCGCCTCTTACTGATGCTTTTGACACGTAATCCATTGATTTTATTGATTCAATCTAATTTAAAATAGCAATAAGTTTGCTAATAAGAATATTTCTTTGATAATTACTATCATATAAATATAGAACGTGATGAGAAATTTATCAAAAAGAATATTCAAAACACGTACACTGTTCAAACACACTGTAGTACTCTAGTACGGAAGAGAAATACCTACTAATAGTCTTCAAAAGGAATGAATACTAATAGAATTTCTTTTTTTTAATATTTAAACTCAAAGCATCATAAAAAGAAGAGACCGGCCCCAAAAGCTACAAGGAAATTCATTCTACCACACATATAAAGAATATTTCTGAAATAACGGCTAGAATGCTAAGATCATTCGAAACAGAAACAGCAGACAATAGAAAAAGAAGATAAGATCGATATCATTCACAAAATAAATTGTATAAACTGTGATAAACAATACATCGGTCAAAGAGGGATTCTCCTTCGAATCATAATCCAAAAACATAAATTAACTGTGAAAAAGCACTACCATGTATTCTTTCATTTCGAGGCACGGACACCGGTTTGATTGGGAAAATGTAGAAATTTTAAACAGAGGAAACACAAAAAATACTGCCGGGGAATTTCTAGAAACCTAGTACTCAAATGAATCAGTGATTAACCAAAACAAAGGCACTATAGATCAAATTTACTAATTAATAAGGAATAAATTGATTAGACACTAGGAACTAGTGTGATGCGTCTAGCTAGTCTTTTGTTTGGAGCAGACAGAATTCTATCAGTCAGGTTCGAATCACTAAAGGGACATGAATTCCTTCAGATTTGCAGATACGCCTTGCTGACTGGTGAGTGCCAACTAGCACGAGAAACCTAGGTCAAACAAGGCTGCTTTCTGCCGATTGCCTCCAACCATCTAATAAGAGGGAACAAATCATACGATGAGAAAGTTCAAATTCCAAGTCAATAAAGATATAAATTACTAATCAATCACGACAATATCTGTCAGGAGATTCATGGAGAATTCAAATAAGTGCATTTCATATCGGAAAAAACCCTGTGCCGAAGATTTCGTCTAGATGAGGAGATAACGAAAGTTTCGCAACTAGATCAACCAGCTTAGAGAACATAATTAAATGAAGAAAATATTCTTTGTTCATGAAACAGCCGTCTTTTAAAAATTCTTTAATGTATATGTAGACAATCCTAGGGGTTAGGTAGAACGACACAAAGAAAATCAATATATTATTATTATTAATACCATCATCATTATTAGTATATGACAAATAAAATTTTAGGCACAGAACCTTACGGGAAGAAAAATAAAAGCCATTGGTTTGTTTGTTATTGGTTTTTAAAATTTTTTTGGGGGAATAAGCACGTAAAATACTCGTGATGAAAGAAAGTCAATATAGCTTGACCGTAATATGTGTGTACAGTAGTCATATATATATATATATATATATATATATATATATATATATATATGCGTGAAAACAGTAAAAGCACTTGGAAAATGCTGCATAAACAAACGAAAATGGGGTGGAGGGGACAGTTGTCGTGTCAACACAAAAATCGCACACACTCACTCATGTTTACACATAAATAAAAACAAATAAATAAGTAAATAAAGCGGGAAATACAGACCGCGCGCATTTTAAATGAAGTTATTTACACACACATAGTAGTAATAAGATTGTTCAAGTACTTATCCCACTTAAGAAAAAGAAATTGGACAGAAGACCATAGAAAGTAAAAAAAGGATATATATATATATATAACATTGACATCCAAGTGAATGATTATTCAATCTATAATAAAAAACAAACAAAAAACAAAAATAGAAATACTGACTGGCTTGACCGATGGTCAGCAGTAGTAACTTCAGCAAAAAGAAGGAGGCGAAACGATAACAAATCCATTCCGAACCTTTTTCAGTAAACCATTTATATAATATAGGTATCAACTTTGAAATAAAAGGGTTGACGGGGGGGGGTTGGGGCTGCAGTTGTTGGCATACAAATAATGTTCATTGATACGTGTATAAGTAAAAAATGGGGAATCGGAACGAAGTTGTTTATGACAGTTGAAGCCCTTATTTTTGGTGATTACTTTTACAAATAAACAAACAATCAATAAATCAATAAATAAACAGAAATATATATATATAAACCCTTCATGTTTATCTTCTTAAAATTTGTTTACTTGTTGCTATGCTATGCATACAGAAATGAGGAAATAAGTAAACACACATTGTGTAAGTAAGTAAGCAAGCAAGCCTTGGTCTACTATCCTAACTCCATTGTGAACAACACACTTTCAGAGACGGATGTAATGGGGTAGCCAAATCACAGGAAGAAGAAGAAGTGGGGTGGGGTCTCGGGAAGAAGTCTATATACGTGTATATGGTTCCCTTGGTTTTTTTAAAAAATATGATTTCAAAAGTAAAGTAAAAAAAATTACATTTGACAGTTTTGTTTAATACCTCAAGAAAGACAGAAATATAAGGTTATAGGATGAACAAAAACACGCATATATATATATGGCAGTTTGACCCGACATTGACCATTACATACACAATAACTTGCTTGATCAAAAACAACAATATTAAGAAAATAAAAAGTAGTCGGTAGGCCAACAAGAAAAAGTGATTTGAAAAGTCAAGGGCACGCATGTGCGCTCGCGCGAGCGCGCGAGACAGAGAGTGGTATGAGACGGGACAAAATAAAAATGGATCGATTGATTAACACCTAATAACCGAGGAAATATAAAAAGAAAGAAGAAGAGACTGGAAGCACATTTGATTCGGAGTTTTGTCATACTGTTGAACTGAAAGCAGAAATTGTAAAAATTAGTGGTAGTAGTAGTAGTTGGTTGTGGGGGTAAACACGTTTATTGTTTAAGACAAAAAACCAAACCAAAAACAACAACAACAGTAGCATACAAGAAGAATGGAAAACACAGACAGTGTTAAGTCACATTTTGTTATACCGTCTGTCTGTCTGTTTGACTGACTATCTCTCTCTTGTCGCCGCCCTACACCCCACCCCGTGTAGATAAAAATATGGATGATACTACAATACAATACAATAATAGGTGATGATAAAAGCAGCAGTGAGAAGTGTGTGGTCAAAAGCGTAAGAAACACACCTACATACACATACATACAGTGACAAACAGGACAGTATTGTAAGAAAATTCACGAATATACAGTTGTGAAAGACAATTAAAACAAAAAGTTGAAAACAAAGAGCAAGTGATGAAGAAGAAGAAAAGGAAAAAGTAGGAAGGTAAAGGCATCATCAAGGAGACTGGTCTAATTCTACCTGAATATACACATAAGTGAGAACGATGGTGACAAGTAAAATGAAGCAAAGATCTTATATTAAACCCGAGTAAATGTATTCATCATCAGTTTTGTATCACAAGACAGACAAACAGACAGACAGTGAGTGAGTGAGTGAGTGAGTGAGTGAGAAATGCTTCTTTTCTGCAAATAACCCAATGCATGTATACATAGCTTACAGACACGAGATTCCACTGCTGTCGTCAGGAAAATCAACTCATAAAGCAATTTAAGAAATAATCTGTGTAAAAAAGATGAAGAAGAGCAAATGCATTACATTTTAAAATACATTTTTTTGAAGACACTTTTCAAAAGGAGAGCTTACAAAGCAAGTGAAACGCAACAAAAGATTATATTATTCCATACAATTATTATCGTTATTGTTGCTATTATTATTATTATCATTGTTGCTGTTATTGCTATCACATTGTATATTGATCAAATCTGATGAGCACAGGTTTAAACAAGAATCAATAGCTTTCAGTTGACGTTTAATTAGAGCATAAACTTCGTATTTTTCACGTATTGGTTCACGTTCTGTTCGAGTAGGTTTACGACCTGATAGAAATAGCAAAAAATATGAGAATAATTGTTAAAGATAAACAATTATAATAATTAGAATGAAATTGTTTTTATTAGATGAAAAGACTAGAAAAAAAAGATACAATCTAGCAAGCAATGCTCCATAGACGACCTAATACACAGCCCCTCTCGAAATACTCTCATGTGCTAGCTGAGTCAATCCAATTCAACACTGCCCCCTTAAGGTGGCGGGGGTGTTCCTCAACAAAAGTGAAAGGGCGAATGCAAGTGTCTGGCGTTTACAAGCGAACTGGTCTAAAGGGATTTGGAAAGACCCGATTCCAAACTTATGGTGTACATATAAGCTCCAGAATTTGAACGGAGCGAATGACGTGTGAACCTGTTTTGGTCATCATAGGAAATTGCACGACTGCCTCACCACCTTATGGATGACACTTCAAATCAAGAGATCAGGGTATGGCTCTTTAATACAATTATCTGCTTCGGTAGCTTTGGCAGCCAGGCAGTATCGCACACTTCATACAATGTATGCAATTTTGTATAGCGTATTATCTTAGTGCCCATAATGTACCACGTTTGACTTTTGATAATACTCCATGGTGTTTCAACTAGAGGCGGAACGGATAAAGACGGTAAAGACACAATCGGAAAGACAAGATATGCCTCCATCAATCTGACATCAGTTTGGAAATTTCCAACACTCGGCATAAACAACAAGATTCGGATTTTCAACACAAATATTAAATCAGCTCTTTTATATGGTTCAGAGACTCGGTCTGAGAGTCATCATAAGCATTTCTAACAGCCTGTTGCAGACTTTTACTAAAAGCTGATGCCTTCACTGGCTCCATATTGAAGATCAAATGACAAGGAAGAATCAGCAAGAAGAAACTCTGGAAAAGAACCGATAAACAACCTACTGCTCAACAAACATGCAGAAGAAAGGGGAGATGGTTTTGGGCACACGCTGAGTAGACCGTTGCGGGACATCGCGGCCAATGAGGAGCATCGCTCGAGTTGAACTCGAATAGGAAACGACTGTTTGGGCATACCTCCAAGACTGACATGAAGGAGAGACTGTGAAGTTGAAATGAGAGAACATGGGCAATCATGGGGTCAGCTGAAGAGGACCACTGAGAAAAAGACAAAATAGAGATGTTGTGGTTGAAGCGTTATGTTCCACTCGGAACCCAAGGGGAAAATAATGATGAGAATAGCAATAGTAATCGATGATAAATCAGGTTACCAAACTCTGCATGGTAACATTGTTATAAAGGAGAGAGAAGTGAATACATTAGATCAACAAATCAGCTTTGTTGCAATCGATATGAGGCTATCAATATAAAAAAATCTATCATGTAGTTTAAGGGGATTCGATGAATCCATGGCAGAAGTTCACCAAACAGAGTGGATTCTCGTCCGACGCACTTCTAAACCTCGCCGATAGCAGGCTTGGAAAAGAGTGAAGGTTGGGTGTGAAGCCAGCAGCCACACTCCGTAAGGATAACACTACCGCCAATGAAACTTTTAAAAACCTGAAGGCCTCTACGTTCAACTTAAAACATGAAGGAATGGGACACAGGAAACAGTATAACTTAATGGGGGGGGTGGTTGGGTGTGTAAGCATTAAACGTAAATGAAGTATTTATTTCCTCTCAAAGCTAATTTCAGAATGCAGGCAGTCACATTAAAGTGTATAGCTTAAAATTTGTGAAAAACATTAAGAGTAGCTTGAAAAGACAAATATAACTGGGGAACTCAATTTTCACAATTCGCAATGTAAACGGCTGGAGCGGTAAAATTTCAACATGGTTTCCTTCGGACATCAAGTTATTCCGATCACACGCAATATGTGATTTGCTTGCCACCACAAGTGGTAATCAAGAGAGCAATCATCTTCGCACTAAACTATATACTACTTATCAAGTGAGATGAGTAGTTGTATACGACTCATATCAGCCAGCAATGCAACCACTCACCTCAATCAATCAGTGGTACACAGTTTCATGCAAACATGCTTGTTGTATTGATTACCGTTTGTAGTAGCAAGCAGATTACATACTGTGTGTGATCGGAAAAACTTGGTATCCGAAGGTAACTATGGTGAGATTTCACCACTCGAACTGTGATACATCGCTAATTGCTAATCAGTTTACATTTTGTGAATTTGATTTAAGGTGCGGTCAAACCGACTAAGTACTTCGCCATAAATCGCGTGGGTTCAGCTGATTGGGCTGTCTGAGAGCTCAGTAAAACCGAATACACCACTGATGAGCTCGGCCCCGAACGAGCACCTGAATGATTCTAACGTAGACCTTTGCACAGGTGTGCAGCAGTTCGAGTCACCACAATTCACTTAGCACACAAAGCAAGAGAAGAAAGTAAAAAGGAACGCAAAATAGAGACAGTAAACAAAGATATGAAGCGAAAATAATAGTAATATCCGAGGAAACTAGAGTTTTATTACATATTACAAGTCACAAGGAGTGGTTGCATCTGTGCCAGCCATTGAGAACGAGGATTTTGAGCCACATCACCAATTGTCTCCAGCCTTCATTGGTGTTTACTATCCCGAGGACGCCAACCAGTCAGGAAGTCTACACCTCCCTACGTGGCTAACTGGCTTAAACTAGCTGTTGTGGATTTCATTGACTGATGAAGCCATGTTTTCGTTTCACTACCACTAGCTCTTTTCAAACCTCATCGATCCTATGTCAGTGGGTAACATTTCTCGTCAAGGAAAGCGATGGCTAGACATGCACGTGTAGCACATGTCCTAATCATCTCACTCAGTCAATGTAGCTTCACAGTCTCGTCTATTGATTTCCCCTTCTTACCTAACACTCGACCGATGCCTAACGTGAATATTGCTACCCCTAGTATACAACTTCACACGGAAGATAGAACACAGGCACCAAATAAGCGTAGCGGCCTTTCGATGTTTAGGTCACTTCGATCTGGCTAGTTAACCAGCAAGTACTGGTAGTTGTTGATGTGAGTGATGGTAGGCAACCACTACTCATTCCAATCGATAAGTAGTATATAGTTTTATATGAACTCTATTTCCACTGTTATTTATTGATTTTTCTTCGAGTACCTGAAACAGAAAGAGTGTTGCATGATCGCAGAGCCCAGGGGACAACTGCTTAACACCAGCGGTCACACACACGGCCTGTATGAACTGGTTTCTATGGTTAGTTCCGTATTAGTAAACGTACCGCCGGTTACGGACCACCGTAGGGTAAGTCGGGATGTACAACTGTTGGGGTCGACCTTTTCTAACCCCCTGTCTCCGGAGTGGAAAGACAGTATAGGCGGCTGGCATACTGGTCATCTGAGGGAAACACCTTACTGCTGTTATATCCCTGTTCCCCATTAGTACAACTTTGTCCACAGACCCCAGCATAGTGTAAAAAGAAAAATTCTTCCACTAGGCTGGTAACTGCTTTTAGTCTAATCGCTATCCTAACAACCTTCCTGGAAGGCATGGCAGGACCTGAAGGAACATTGGTTCCAGCCAATGTAGCTTGTGGGGTCATTGCAAGCGATGTGCAAGCCCGACCACCACGTCAAGGTAGCAGCTATATAATACTAAAACTGAATTATACTCTACCTGGACAGTGTTTTTAATACACATAAACCTGTATTACAGTTTCCTAGAGCAAAAACAAAATGAAGTCGATTTCAATACGACATAAACAGCATATTTCGCTTAATGGGATATTTTTAAACAACTGTTCACTGCAAAAACAGAGTATTTCTTGCTCTGCAAACGAAATAAAATAATAATAGAGAAATAGTTTTAAGACAGATAATGGACTTCGCTCATAATGTTTCATTTTCTTTCTTATCTGTTTGATTAATATGCTGCTATACACTATGAAAGGAAAAGAAAGTTTTTTTTAAAAATGATCTTATTAAAAAAAACCATAATTAACAAGATACAATGACACAACAGAAAACAACATATTCGACTGAGTAAATTATAACAGAATATAAAAATAGGCACTTGCACAGGCGAGGTGAGGGGAGGTACGGAGAGGGAGGGTGGGGGGGAGGAAATATTCACTTTCATGAAATGAAATGTATGTCAAATTAGGTGGTCAAACACCAGTAAAAAAAAGAAAAAAACTTATCTAAGGATTTAGTAATGCTAAGATCTATCCTATTTAAAACCTAAAGGTGAAATCTAGTGAAAGAGCCACTGTGAACAAAGTTATGTTGGACAGCTGTTTAGTCCTATATTGAGACTATTTAATAGCGTCTGGATCCATAAATAACTGATAAATCATCAGTATACAACATTTGGCACGTTTTCTCTGACCTAGTGTGTTGAATGAAACCCAATCATTAACGATTCACTATTCATCTCCCATCTCGTAACATAGAGTAATCACTATCTAATGTAAAACGTGTCGGCGCGTCATGGTTTAGCAGGAAAACGCTTACCGACCACGCATATTGTCTACGGTTCGCTCCTCGGCTGATATACTTCTTTCTGGCGCTACAGTATCACGTCGTTCGATCACCAGAGTTAAGCAACTTCGAATTTAGTTTGTACTTGCATGGGTGACCGGCTAGTAATACCTGGAGTTACCGGCTTTTCTGCGTTGATGGTTCAGTGGTAGAATATTCACCAACTACACCTCACGTGGTCTAAGGTTCGATCCCCAGTCAGCGCACTCCTAAACTCTGCTAAGCCGGCAAAGAGGGAAGGTTGGGCGTGGAGCTACCAACTCACCCCGTAAAAATGAACTCCACTAATACTGAAACTTCAAAACTCTTACTTGAAAACTTATGTGTAAATGTAAAAGGAATAATAAAAATGGCATAGACGGCTACACATATCATTATTTTATTTATTTTGATTTTTGATTACAGCTTGATTCAACTCTGTATTTTTGATACAAGTATAGAATTTTCAGCATGGATATCCGTAGCAAAACTTTTTCAGGCCGACCACAGATATCAGGTGTGCGTCGGCAGGGGATCGAACCTCGGACCATGTGCACGGT